ATAATCCCATAAAAGGCGTTCTGAAGTTATGCTGACCACAAAGTTGCGGAAACACACACAGACATACATACATACATACATACATACAGACAGACGCCGCCGAAAACAATACCTCCATTTTTCATGGAGGTAATAATTGACATGTAATTAAAGGAAGATTAAAAGAAAGATTAAGGAAGATTTCACCCCCTTGAATGTAGGTCAGAAACATTCAAATTGGTTGCAGCTGGAAATAATTAATGTCATTTAATAGTTATTAAATCAGCCTCCTTAATCACATCCTGGTAAGGAAGTACTGTTTTGGGTAGCTGATGAGCTGTGGGTTTGTGTATCAGTTTATCTGGACAGAGAAGGTTGACAGCATGTGGGTAGGGGAAAAATTGACAGGAAAATTCCCCAGTGCGTGCTAATGGGCCCGGGTGGGCGGGCAACACTTCCAGCACTGTGGAGATACAGGGGAGCTCCCCATGGTAGGGTTACCAGGCTACTATTGACAGCCTGCAGTGACCCTGTAGTGCCAGTGGCTGCCAAGCAGTCCCTGTACATGGCTCACACTGTGTTGAGCAGTTAGAATGCTTCGATGCAGAACCCTCAGAGGACCTGCATACAGAGCGCCCTTGAACTCTGGAATCCCACGAACTGTGAAGTAAAAGTTACATAAACAAGCTTTCTGCACACCAATTTCTCAAACCATGGCTGGTTGCACAAGACACCAGTCTGATCTTGCACTCTGTTCTTCAATATTGTTGGAAGTATCATTTTGGGTGACTCAGCTGTGCGTTTGTGTGACTGCTGTCAGGACAGAGAACATGTAGGTTGACAGCACATGGGTGAGAGGAAGATTGACAGGTAGAATGATAGATCAAAAGGTCAGATACAGGAAATGGGATGAACTAGAGATTTTTCAAAGTGGCAAATACATGTAACCAGTGGACAAATGTTTGAACATGTTTTGTAATGTCCACTAAATTTTTAAAATGGACATTACAGGTATGAACGGTTTATTCAGAAATGATGAGCCCTACCCTGTAGGCACTGTCCACTGCCAGCTGACCGCTGCCAGCCTGGACAACACTGCTGCTGACCTCTGTTGAAACAGATGTTGGGGCCATAATTTCTGCAACACAAATGTTATTGGTGTCATGGCAGGGTTTACTTGTACATGAATTTATGGGTTTCACATTCAAACACAAGAGAAGTTGTGAAATACCACTTGGCTCTTGATGTTACATCTACTACCGTAACATAATTCCACCACATGTACAATGTATATCAGCCACCCTGAAAAATGCATCAAAACAGATCTCGAAGCAAATTGTCAGCCAGTAAAATGCCTAAGCCTGGGTGCCATCCCCAGTAGTATTCGCCCGCTAGCTTACAACTGGTAGCTAGCGACATTATATTAGGGAGCGGGCGAATCGAATTGGTTTGGCCTAAAGTTCAGCCTGGTTTTGCCATATCTGCTACCGAAAGGCCCCCACATCTAGCAGATTTGGTAGGCTGGAAGGACTTGAGATATACTTGATAGTTTGGCAGGCTGCCACCTTGCACTGCAGGTGACTGTTACCATAGAGGTCGCCAGATTAGAGACCTCCTCCAAATGGTCCATCCTTGCCAAGAATAACTCAGGATCCATTCCAAACCAGGGCAAGTTGATGACCAACAGGTGGACATTCTGTCCGTGCTCTACCTTGCCAGTAGGCAGCAGAGAGTGGATACTGTAACAGTAGCCTGCTATAGGATTGACAGCCTTGGGAAAGCTTTTCATGTTTTTGTATGTTCAATGATCTGAACGTGTAAAATGGACACCATGACACACAATTACTGATACTAATCCTGTCAGTAATAAGCAAGCATCTCATACTTTGTTTTGTGGGATATATGAATTTATGGTTGACCTAAATCTCTTTTATACTCTTCGACAATTTCTGGGTAATACAAGTACAGGAAGGAGACCTTAAGACTGAAGGACAGTAATGACTCCCATGTGGTGTCCCTATAGGCTGGCGTGAAGAATGGATTTGTTTCTTGTGTTGGATACCAGGAAGCAACACTGATACTGAGTGATAGCCAATCCAGGAGGGATCAACAGTAACTTGATAAAGTATGTCAGCTATCAGAACATCTAAATCTGTTTTGAAAAATAAGCCACAACACAATTTCATTTGCAAAATCATTCCCGAAGGCAATTTAACACCCAAAATGTAACACTCAAAAATGTAAAAATGTCTAGACTATAAGTAATACCTCTTAATAATTAAATGTATGTAATGCATAGAAACACTTAGCTATAGCCTACATACACCTATAGTCACCGTATGCTGTATGTACTGTATATTTCTGAGGGGATTGACTTCCTTTTTGAAGGCAGTGGCTTCTGAAAAATTGTCACATTTTTTATGATTTCTAATTTTTTCTACACTACCAAAACTATTTTTTTCTTGCTTATGGAGAAAGCTCGAAGAGATTGTGCAAGATTACTACACAAGCCAATTTTATCCACTCTACCTCTGCTCAGCCAGGCAGTTCCAACCACACCAGGTGGTAGTCTGTCAAGCCTACACAAAGCCTCAGGTCATCAACTTGTCGAGAGAACCTTGGCAGTATATCAAATCATGTAAAATCTACTTCCCAAACCTTGACATCTGGCGTGGTGCCCTCAACTGTTGGCAGTGATAACACGCTGTGGTTCAATTAAGATTTATAGCTGTCTGGTCTCTGGTTTTGGGGTAGTGTAAAATGGTTTCCCTTCATAAATCTTAGCTGAATTCATGAACCTAAACATAACATTGAAGGTACAATACTGGTTCAGAGGTTTATGTAAGCCTGGGTGCCTTCCTCCTTAGTTTCCGTCCGCTTCCTAATCATGTCGCTGGGCTCTGTTTACGTACCTGTACCTGAACAATTTGACAAAGAAAATTGTGGTCTTCAAACAGGACTGAAACAGAATGTATACTTGAATGTAAGTCATTAAAGTACAGTACTGGTACATATTGATGGTCAGGACCAGTGTACAATGTACTTGAATAATTTTCATGGTACTATACTGTGATGGCCAGGAAGTCAAAGATCTGGGAATTTGAGTGAAGATCAAGGACTAGGATAGCGGTAAGATTAACAGGCCAGAGGTGTGATTAGGGCCAACACAAAGCCAAGGTCGGCAGACCTGCCGCCCTGCCCTGACACAGGGTCAATGTTGATATATAGTCAGTCAAAGTAAGAGTAGAGCAGTGGTGGGCTGTATCGTCTGCAGATGAGAGCGGCGACATTGATGACGATAGGGAAAGTCGGGAGCCTTTCTAAACCAGATGGTGCATATAGGGCAGCACCCATCTCCATTTCAGGAGCCCTCGGGCCACTGTACAGCAGGGGCTAGTTCACTCAGGTAGTGGTGTGTGTGTGTGTGTGTGTGCTCAACTTGCATATCATCATAGAAACCAGTATGTACCATTTCTTATTAGTCTTTTGTATGACCTGGAATGCCGGGAATGAACTCACGACCTAATGAAGGAGGGCAAACATTCCACCCAATAGGCCATTGCACCAGTCGTTGATAGACCAGGGAAAATGAACCAGTCTTTGTCTAGCAGGCCTGCAGACCTACTGTAATGACCAAATGAAATTAAGAACATATGCACATGGTTGAAGGCAAACCCTGACTGGCAACTTACAACTTTGAGTACTAGTACTGCAAATGCATTTTACTTTCACAATGATTTTATTGAGTGTTAGGAGGGAAAAGTAGCATTTTAAGCTCAAGGTTGAAACAATTCCATTCTATCCAGAGTACAATTACAAACCATATTTTGAAGTTTAATGCTTTTGCAGTAGAACTAGTGAAAATAAAACCATGGCAAACAAATTCAATTTTCACAAGTTACAGTAAAATGCAACCAAAACCTGAAACTCCTTGACATTATACTCCCTGCCTATATCCATGTCTGCTTTCTTGCACAGCTGAAGTACACAGGCAGGAAAGGGCATTGTCTATGTCTGTCTAGAAGAGCAATTTTCTACTTGGGCTGTTGCCAAGATAGGCAGGGGTTCAGGCTCCGGCAGACTCTGAAAAGGGAGTATGGTTTGTCAACATACCTGTATTTAATGCTAAATGTATAAGTAGCTTTATATGTTAAACTGTTCATAAGCGATAGATCTAGTGATAACATACTAAATAGGTTCATATCCTGAATGGTACAATGTAATCTCTTTTTTTTTCACTTCTGGGTATGGAAGTATTGTTTTGGGTGGCTGAGCTATACATGTAGGTTTCTGTCTCTGCTTGTACTAAAGCCCCTGTAGCTTTGGTTGGGTGGGAGGTGATGTTGAAAATAAAACCTCTGCAAACATTTCCAGATTTACAGTGAGAAGAGTTGAGGTTATGGCCTTACTTCGACGGATTTAAAAGGATTTTGTCTGTCGGTAAATTTCTGCCAGTTGAATTGAGGTACGATATGTTTATTTGATTTCCAGCCATCCTACTAGAGTGATGAGATGAACTTGGACCTGAACATAGATCAAGGGAGGCTGAAGATGAAGCCTCACAGTCACAGGGCAGGACTCCAGCAGGGGCTGATGTGAAGACTAGACTGAATGGAAGGCTGCTGTTGACATGAGAACATACCAGCAACTGAAGTCTGCATTAGATTGAAGAGCCAGGATGTCATGGCTATACACATCTAAAAACATGTCGCTTGAAATTATCCAGAAGACAGATCTGCCAAGTCTTCTGTGATCAGGAAATCGTAACAATTGTAGTAAATTAAAGCAAATGGCATCACAATAAACAGTTAGTAATCAGTACATGTACTTGGTGGGAGTCAGCAATAACAGTTTTGCCTGTGCTGACATGAAGGCAGGTAGGCACATGTAGGTATGTAGAGCAGATTTGGCTGAAGCTGTTTTATCAACACCAATTGGGAAACGTTATCTTCCCCAGCTGATCAAACAGCTACTGTCCGACTGTGGAAGTGCCTCCCAGATTGGAATGTTCTCAACCTGCCAGGCCTGGTCAAGACTCCCAAGTATGAGTACAGTCCCCTACTGAAATAATCTGAATCTTTGAGATGTCAGAATCTAAATTTACTACGTTCACTTTGGGAGTATTGTACACTGAAAATTCATTCACTTTTGTAGTGGTTTTATTTCGTGGTACACATGTATTTCATGGTCCCAGTGTTAAATTTGAGGTAAATACATGTAATTCTTTAGTACACCAGTACATTGGAAATGCATATTTGCAGTATCGTTAATTCATAGTGTATTTAAGGTCACTGTGAAAACTGCTACAAAAGTTTGAAGACTTTTAATATGTTTGCCTTGATGCTAGCCTAAAACAAGAGAAGTTCAAGATTCCTTTAAACTGCCCATACCACTTTCATCTTATCCTTTTCTTTAAACAAGACATTTTTCTTCCCCACTATGTGTCTAGTCCTCCTGTTGTCCCTTGAAAAGCATGTAATGAGGGGCGGAGTCAGTAGAGTAATGATGTGTCTGGGTTGACAGACGGCACCTGTATTCTGTTGTTCTGTTTGGGTGAGGAATGTCTGTGGAATCTTGGCGCTGTAGGTACCTGCTATGATGCTGACCCAACATACGCTGCTGGTTACTCTTTCATTTTCGGGGGACGGGGTTGATTTTTTTGACAAAACGCGAGACAAAAATGTCAGATTATTAGTATTACCTCCAGGTAGAGAGGTATTGTTTCAGGTTTGTCTGTGACACACTGTGCTTGCTTGTATATTTGTAAGTAGAGTGCAGTAGAGTGGTGCAAAGGGGTGGGGATGTGGTTGTAACCATAGATTGTCATGAGGTCAAGTTGGCAGTTTAAATGGTCTCCCTACAGGCTGAGAAGAAGTGAGGCCACCCACAGTTCACTGCCCAGATATACCCACTTAGGGCTTGTCACAACAAGCTCAAGGTTTTTATTCTGGACTCATTGAAAGTACATGTATATCAGACCATGTCTTTGGTTGCACCATACAGATTCACTAAAATTCTAAATACTTCAATTTTGACCCAGAGGTTTGAAAAATGCAAATACTCTGTGAATCAAAATACTCAGTAGCTCGCTATGCCTCATAGAAAAAGGCATGCAGACCCTCGTAGCACAGTATTGAA